GTCCAGTTCACTAAGAGAAATCTAACAATCTCCATCTGCATCATGTTTGGCTCCCAGGTATCTATAGGCCTTTTCCCAACTATATCAGCCCAACCTATCAGATCTTGTAGGGAACAGGTCCTAGTGATTCCACGTTTCTGAAAGGTGCGGACAGATGAGATTAGACAGTATTGCTTCTCTGTAGTAGAGCCTTTGGTTTGGAATGGCCTCTCATTGGAGATCAGATTCCTTCCTTCCTTACTGACCTTTACGAAGCTATTAAAACCCAGTTATTCCAGACAACATTTTCATGATTTTGCTGACTTAATTTCTTGTGCTGCTTATATTATTTCACTCTCTTTTATTGATTGTCATTTATGTTGGTATTCTGCATATTTGTTTAAGTTGTCATTTCACTGTATTCAGTATAAGCTGCTGAGAGCCAACTGAATACACCAATATATAGATCCAATAAATAAATAAATAAATAAATAAATAAATAAAATGACTTTTTCCCTAACTTAAGACCATTTATAAATATTTAATCCATTCCTTGATTAAGTACATTTTGTACTTTTTATTGGGAAATGTTATCAAGAAGATATTAGGGTGTTACTTGAAGAAAGCCAATATCTAGACCCTTTTTGCTCATGGTTAATACACAGGCAAGGAATGGAAACACCATCGCTAGCTCTGGTTGATTCCCTTGCACAAACTAGATGGGGGTAGATTACCTCTTGTGGTCCTATTAGACCTTTTGGTGGCATTCAGTATCATAAGCCATGATATTCTTCTATTCTACCTGTTGTGAATAGATACTGGAAGTACGGTTTTACAATTATTCCACTCTTTACATAGTGGACAGTTCCAACTGGTAGTTATGGGAAAGGAGAGGTTGACCTAGTGGCTATGCCATTCTAGGCTACTTCAGGGTTTGATCCTTTCCCCCAGATCTGTAATATCAACATGAAACCCTGGAAGAGACCATCCACTGGTTCAGGGTGAAGTATCACCTGGATGCTGATTATCTATCCCAGGTCAATCTGGAAATACAGTGAAGTTTTGATCTGGTACCTGGAGACTGTTGGGTCTGAATGAGATTAAATGGGCTGAAGTTCACCCTAGCAAGATGTACTATTTGTACACAGAAATTCTCTTCCAGGGCCTGCATTTATTCTGGAAGAGGACTACTGCCCCTGATGGAGCAAGTCCATGTCTTGTCCTCCTAAACTCACCACTATTGCTGGAAGGGTAAGTGGGGTCATGGCATTTGTCCAGTTACAGCTGTACAGCTGAAGCAAGAGAACCTTGGAACAGCAACTCATACCTTGAACACCTGAACTACTTAATAGTCTAGGCCACCACAATGTACTCTTTATGGAGCTGCCATCGAAGATCATTCAGAAACTTGTCAGTCTTTCAAGTAGATCAAACTAGGATGACAGAGTTATGAATGCTAATACTACTTTATTATAAGATTACAGTAATAAAATCTTGCAAGTTTGAATGTGCTTCCCCCCTCCATCCCTTTATCTTCATGAGAACTAGAGAGGGTCATGTCTGAGATGCTTATTCAAATTACATTTCTGCCCTGGGCTCAGATTTCTTTTATCTGACCATCGCCTTGGTTGGAGCTCTTCTCCCTGTTCCTCAAGGTTATTCCTACTTCCTATTACAAAACTGCAGATGATACAGAAAACAGCATCTTATTTGTTGGCGGTATTAGATGCCATGAGTATGTAATACCAGTATTATAAAACATCCATTGGTTGCTAGCAAGTCTCTGAGTGTAATCACAATCAAAATCTGGGTTCGCACCCAGATACCCTTCAAAGCTGCCTTCTTCAGCTGGAATTGATCCACCTGATACATATGTCCCAGGAGAAACTACTTGTGGTTCTTCGATCAAACAATGCCATTTAAGACCCAGGAAGTATGCCTTCTCTGTTGAGATGCCTACCCTCCAGAGACCTGTGTGGCTCCCATCATGATGGTGTTTTTGAAAGCCTTGAAAACCTGGTTGTTCTCCCAGGCCTTGGAACAGTGTGGATACAGTTCTCCTTGCTAGAAGTAGTGCATTGTTTGGCTGGGTGCTGATTTTTTTTTTTTTTACTTATATTGTATTTTGGCTTCTGCTTTTTTGTACCGTTATTTATTTTATATTGGGAGTAACCCAGAGTTGGGCAGCATCCACACTTAACTAATTAATTAATTAATTATTGCAGATGTTTTATTGTTGTTTGTATCTTAGATTATTTAATACCCACCAGGATTCTACCTAATGCTACTATTAATAAGATATACAGTATATGCTGCCTGTCTCCCAGTGACAGGATAATGGCAGTATACAAAACTAATAAAAAAGTAAATAAATACACATGAAAATGTTTGTGAGTTGTTTGTATATAAGACCATGAGATTTACACATATTTCTATGTGTAGACCCTTGTTTTGTCAGTCTGTGGGCAATTCTGCATGGCAGCTTAAGCTGCTCCTCTCCTGTGCTGCTCCTGGCAATTTCTGAAACTGAGTTTTAACATTATAGTTCAGATAGCAATGGGGCCAGATTGATGTTAAACCAGCCTACAGCTGCTGTAAGCACTGATTGGTTTTTCCTCATTTCTCGCCATTCCCATCTGTGCAGGGAAGACAAGCCACATTGTCTGGCTGCTGTGTGTGTGGATCTCCCAGTGCCTTTTCCTTTTAGGGACTGTTTCCTCCTCTTTAGCTCCCATTCTTTCCCTTTGTTTTCCTTGATGTTCGCACAAGGGAGGATGCTTTCATACACACTTCCCACATTCTCTCCTTTGACACTAACACAGACCCTTTCTTTTTTCCTCCTTATTGTACCATCACTGCTCTGATGCTACAAAGATCAAACCAAAGATATCAATTTGTTCTTTCATTCCGACCTTTCTCTGCAGATCCATGGTGACTTTGCATCCAGGAAGAACTGATGGTTCAGTTTCATGGACTCAGACTAGCATTCACTGAAACTTCATAGTTTCATTCCAATGTACTTGTGGTGCAACTTAAAGATTTAGAAAAACAAAAGGGAAGTTTTGCAGTACTGTAGATTTCCCACTGGAGAGAGATGAAGACAAGGCTATGTGTGAAGCCCCACTCTCTTCTCCCTTTGTGCTTATTAGCATTTACAGAAATGCTCAAAATGTATCTCAATATTTAATGTGGATTAGATAACATTATTTTATTACCTAAAATGTTTTGCAAATTCATTGCAGGTTTCTTAAGCCTTCCCCTAATAACTGCAGGAACTAGGATGTAATAGTCCCATAATCAGCCCAAATAACTTCACTTCACAACTCCACTGTGTAAGAGTGACAGAAAAGAACACCTTCCACTGCCAGTGTACATCTTTGGTACAATGAAGCACTACTTCATTGAGGTGGGATAGCAGCAGATTGGGATTTGGCCCCAATTTGCCACCTGTTCAGGTCCACCACTTCATTTCACCTTATGGTAAGGCCAGCTCTGAAGAAAACCAATGAGCCTCTGTTCTGTGCACAAATAAAGGTATTCAAGAGTAATCATGTCAATCATCTAGACAGGTCTCATTCTTCAGAGAATCCAGGGCATCAGCAAGACTGCCAGTTCTAGTTCTTAGAAAATCCTCCAGTACAGGAATCCATCAAGACCCATTAGTCTCTGCAGGTGGACCATACTAATAGTTTCCCCACCAACTTTTCCACTTCTATAATTCCCAGACAGATTTGCCTCTTATTAGTAGTGACATGTTCATAATGTTACCTACAAATAATCTTTACATTAGCTAGCAAAATATAGAGGCCAGGTATGGATGTATTAAATCTAGAAACCACATGAACTATGAACCATTTCCTTTTAATTAACATCTGGAAATTCTGCCTCACCCCAAAAAACACAATTAACCTGCTATGAAGTGAGAACTATACAACCAAAAATGTCAACAGCAATAGCTCCATGCTAATTTTTTGTTTCTGGTTCCACCAGATTTTTAACTATCTGCCACATCCAGGGAATCTGCTAGAACTCTACCAATTTTTTTACTTTGCATGTAGTTAAGAATATTGTTGGATGCTGGAGTTGAGACATTGGGAGACGAATAGCAGTTAATGAGTAAAGAGGCAGTGGAGGCTTGAAAGTAAATGAATCTGGAACTTGAAGGACAAGGCCAGAAAGGTTACGGATATTTGGGAGACAGGATGAATCGCCATGCTCAGTGTTAGACACAACAAAAATGAGACCGCTCAGAGCAGTCAGAAAGTCAGATTTATCAGCTTCATTTCCAGGGCATCACACCATTGTGCAAAGAGTTAGCTGTGGCACATGCGTGAGACAAGAGACATAATGATCAGTGCCTTAAAGTAACAGGTTAATTTGTTATTTAAAGAACTGCTAAAGTTCAGCTAGGATAGAGACACGTTTTGGAAGGGCAGTAGCATCTTTTACATCCAAGCTACTTCTGTTCAGCAGTTGGAAGTTACCTAGGAAGGAGGACTGATTTCAAGAGAACTCCTTTCCAAGGCACTGAGGAAAACTGCATCCTGAACTTCTCAAAATGCTTCCAACTGTCACAGAAATGCCTAAAATTTTCACAGTTCTTTCAAGGCTGAATAAATAATTGGATATCTCTGCAATGATTTAATAGGGTTTGATTAGAAGCCAGCTAAATCCCAAAGCCACCTAAAATCCATGTGTCTGTAGCCCACCAGGTCTTTATTAATACTCACTCCCACCAATTACAACCAGCAGGGTCAAAGATCAGAGCTGATGGGCTTTGTAGTTCAGCATGAGATCTACAGCTCCCCACCCCAAGCCATATCTTAGGCTCTTAAAACAAACCAAGATGTTTTAGTAGCGCTAATCCGAAGGACCATTTCGGTGTGCGAGTTGGTGGCGTCTCGCTCTTCGCACAAAAGCCAGCCCCGCGGAGATCAGGCTCAAAAGGGGTTTACAAGGAAGGGGTGAAAGGAAGGAGAAAGAAGGCATGGAGCCGCGGAGCCTCTGTTCCGGTGTCTTACCTGAGTGTCTGGAAGCGGCTAAGAACCTAGGCGCCCGCTCCCTGGAGGACGAGGAAGAGCTGACTCTGGCTTCGCGATCCACAGCTGCCGAGGAATACTGGGAGTCGCCGTTGGCGAAGCGCCGAGCGATGACCCGCTCCGTCCTCAAGGGGTGAGAGGCTGCCTGGAAGCTGTTGCTGTCCGCCAGAGCTTTGAGCAGCAGGTCGAGCAGCGTTTTCCGGTCTCCTACGGGCCCCTGGAGATCTCCGGCTTTGCTTTGGACGGCGGCGTCGCTACCGCTTTCCAAGCGGGACGTCCGCGCTGAAGTGAGCAATAGAAAGAAGACGAGGGCACACAGCATGTGGCGACGGCGGCATTTCGTAGCCCCGGGCATCTCTCGGCCGCCTGGGAGGAGAAAAGAAGCAATACCCGGCGGTTAGCTTCTCTCCCTGGCCATCCAGAGCGCTTTCCTCATGATGCGACTGGCGGGTCTGGGGGGAGGGCGCTGAAAAGCTCGCGCACAGCCACAAGCAGGAGAAGACCAGGTTTAACTACGCGCTCTCGTTTTG